AGGAACCCATAATTGAACAAACTTTTTAAAAAGATTTAAGGGCAGGAGATCTTAAAACTTTACAGCGAACACCAATTGTTTAATGCATTGTTCAAGAGACCCAGTAACAGCTTTATAAATATCACTCTGCATCCTAGACCTTCCAACTAAAACTACATCATTTATTCTTAACTATTTTGTTGCTTAAATGTTTAAGAAGTATGTTACTGGGAAATTAACATAGAGAGAGAGAGAGTAAGCAAGGGAATTTGCAGAATTTTTTTCCAACTCCAAATATACAGACTGTTCCATCTAGAACAACTTTTAAGGGTGCCTAGGTGACTCGGTTGAGCATCGACTTTCACTCAGGTCATGATTTCACAGTTCAAGAGTTTGAGCCCCCTGTCAGGCTTTGTGCTGACAGCTCAGAGCCTGGAGCCTGTTTCAGATTCTGTATCTCTCTGCCCCACCCCTGCTCAAACTCAGTATCTCTGTCTCTCTCTCAAAAATAAAATTTAAAAATTTTGAATAATAACTTTTAGATTGTGTGTGTGTGTGTTTTTTAGAGAGAGAATGAGAGCAGTAGCTCACACAAATGGAGGAGAGGCAAAGGGAGATGGAGTGAGAGAATCTTAAGCAGGTTCTACTCCCAACACAGAGCCAGATGTGGGGTTAGATCTCACAACCATGAGATCATGACTTGAGCTGAAATCAAGAGTCAGAGGCTTAACCAATTGAGCCACCCAGGAGCCCCTTATATTGGTTTTGAATGAGTTGTATTAATATAGAATGAATTCACTAACAAGATATTGTCTTTAAGGACAAGTATCTATTGAGAAAAGAATAGAAATTTCTCTTATTTTAATATTTTGAAAGTTTATTATTGAGACTGTAAATAATTTGAGATAACAATACTTTCTGAACATTATTATTTTTTAAAATGTTTTATTTATTTCTGAGAGAGACAGCATGAGCAGGGGAGGGTCAGAGAGAGAGGGAGACACAGAATCCGAAGCAGGCTCCAGGCTCTGAGCTGTCAACACAAAGTCTGACGTGGGGCTCGAACCCACAAACCATGAGATCTTGACCTGACGCTTAACCAACTGAGCCACCCAGGTGCCCCTCTGAACATTATTTTTAAATAAATCTAAATTACGTTTGTATTTTCATGATGACATTTATCTAGAGGGGGAAAATTCGAGATGTTTTTCTGAACACATAATAAATTGAAGAGCCTCTTTTGGTTACATATATTTTATGATGAATTGTAGATTCTATTTTATGCTAGTGCTGTAAGTAAGGGCTAAGGGGAGAAAAACCCTGGAGACACAGAGCTATGACATGTTTTTAAGTTCATCAAAAATGAATTCTCCATCTGGAATTGGACTGTTGCTTCTTTTTGCAACTTGCCTCAGGAGAGAACATGATAATATAAAACCATTGGAATGCAATCCCCATTACCTCTACTGTGTAAATGAATCATATCTCCTTTTTCAGAGTATGAAGAGACTTTCTTTATTCTTTATCAATAGTATTGAAAATTGCTAATAGAGGGGAGCCTGGGTGGCTCAGTTGGTTAAGTGTCCGACTTCGGCTCAGGTCATGATCTCATAGTCCGTGGGTTTGAGCCCTGCGTCGGGCTCTGTGCTGACCACTCAGTTTCAGATTCTGTGTCTCCCTCTCTCTGCCCCTCCCCCACTCACTCTGTCTCTCAAAATAAAATAAAGACATAAATTTTTTTTTAAAAAGAAAATTGCTAATAGAAAACAAAGTATTGACTTTCTCAAAGCATATTTTTCCTGAATTTTAAACTTTATCAAGAAGTGACAGTGCCTTGAATTTGGTCCCTACTCTCATTATGGTATCGTGTAAGCAAAACAAGAAAAGAAAACCAGGGAAAGAAAAGGGCTTCATAAACAAATTTGGCATTACTTTGTCTTTAGAATCTTATGAAGGTTAAGGAGACATTGATGGGGATGAGTAAATGGAACCAATCTAGAGAACATTCATTAGACCCTACAGCACACCTGGAACTATGGTAGGCACAGTGCATGAAAAGAAATTTAAAAAGAAATTTAAGGGCCACCTGGGTGGCTCAGTCTGTGAAGCGTTGAACTCTTGATTTTGGCGCAGGTCACGATCTCACAGTTTGTGGGATCGAGCCCCAAGTGGGGCTCTGTGCCGATAACACAGAGCCTGCTTGGGATTCTCTATCCCTCTTCCTCTGCCGCGCCCCCCCCCCCATTGTCTATGTCTGGTTATAAAAGCAAGATATATGTGAAGCCAGCCAGCAATGCTAGCTTTTGTAGCACTCCCTTTAAGTCACCCATCGTGTTAACAAGTATTAGGAAATAAAGATAAGCAATAGTAGCTCACATTTAATGAATAAGCACTGTATCCTCAGCTAGTCACTTTTTATGGATCGTTTCATTTAATCTTCACAAAAATTCTAACATAGATACTATCAGCCTCATCTTTTTTCCACTGGGTAAATTGACACTTATGTTAAATAACTTGCTGAAGGTCAAATAACTAGAAGAAATTGTGGTAGGGAAAGGATTTGAACCAAAAAAGCCATAGAACTTCAGAACCAATGAATTAAAAAATTTTTTTGCATTTTATTTATTTGAGGGACAGAGAGAAAGAGAGCAGGGGAGAAAGGCAGAGGGGGAGGGAGGGAAAGAAAGAGAAAGAGAGAGAGAGAGAGAGAGAGAGAGAGAAACCCAAGCAGGCTCCACGAGGAGACTGACTTGGAGCTAAATCCTACGACCCTGGGATTATGACCTGAGCTGAAATCAAGAGTCAGACACTCAATGGACTGAGTCATCCAGGCGCCCCTCAGAACCAATGAATTTAATTGCTTTACTGCTTCCCCAATTCTTGACATTGAGGAACTCAGTCTTTGGGGAGGGAGGTAACTCCCTGCAAAGATAATTACAGGAGAATACATTGAGAGCATCTGAGAATTATTAAAATTGTTGTGGGAAAATGAAAGAGCCTACCAAGTCTGCAAGTCAGAAAAGTTTCACAGAAGTGGTCACATTTGGGCAGGGTCTTTTTTTTTTTTTTTTTTAAATGTTTTTTTTTATTTCTAGGAGAGAGACACAGACTGAAACAGGCTCCAGGCTCTGAGCTGGCAGTCAGCACAGAGCCCGACGCGGGGCCCGAACCCACGAACCGCGAGAACATGACCCAAGCGAAAGTCGGACGCTTAACCGACTAAGCCACCCAGGCGCCCCGGGCAGGGTCTTTTTATTTTAATGTTTAGTTATTTATTTTGAGAGAGACAGAGAGCATGAGCTGGGGAAGGGCAGAGATAGAGAGGGAGAGAGAATCCCAAGTAGGTTCCATGCTGTCAGCACAGAGCCCAACATGGGGCTCTAACTCATGAACCATGATATCATGACCCGAGCTGAAGTGGAGTCGGATGCTTAACTGACTGAGCCATCCAGGCGCCCTTGAGCAGGGTCTTAAAGGATGAGCAGCATTATACCAGAATTTGGTAGCAGAGCATCCTAAGCGCAATAAAGTAAAATAAAGTAAAAGGGAAAACATTTGAGAAGGTAAGAGTGTTATGCCAAACTTAGAGGAAGTATGTAAGATTTAAATAAAAATGTAGGGAGAGAGATTTGGTGGTGAGCATATACCAATTGCACATGGTGTTCTCTCTGTTTAGAATGCTGTTCCTGCCCCCTTTCTGCCTATCCAATTCTTATTTATCTCCCAAAGCTAGCCTTCTGTCAATTCCTTTGTGAAACTTCCCAAACTGTCTATGTGACAAGTGGGGAAGTTATTTAATCTCTCTGAGTATGAGGATCTCCATTCAAACACTTGTCTTACAGGATAATCATAAAAATTAGGATTAAGTGTATTTGAAAGTTTTCTGGCACCTAGTACCCGCTCAACATTTATGAAATGCAAAAAAGCCAGAATTGTTGTGGTATTTAGAAGGCTGAACCCTAGGAAGCTTTGAACTGAAGGACCCATCTGCTTCTGAACCTTCTTGTTGATATCTGCCTTAAACCATACCAAGGATCTCTAGTTCTCTAGGATTTGCTTTACATATTTTATATATTATATTGCTATAATTTAATTTATATTAAATTTCTTGTGTCTTGTACATAATGTTTGTTAGCAGTCTTTCCCTCCATTCATCCTTAAGCTCCTACAACGGCAGAAGAGCTTGTTCTGTTTTGTACAGTTTTATACTCAGCGAAATGCCAAATAGTGTGTAACTAATGCGCACTATGAGTGATGGGTACATTACAACTATCTCTTGTACGAATGAATGATGTTATTCCTGCTCTCTCCTGTTTAGACTTCTCGGCTTTAAGTTCCTGGGACATAAACATAAAACAGACTTAAGGAAGAGAATTTGTTTGCTTTCTATTCTTTTCAAAACAAGTGCAAAAACATAAAGGGTTCCTAAGTGTGATGACATTAACAAAGAGTGACATCTGGTGGTTGCTTGTTAGACAAGACAAATAAATTAGACTCCTATAAATTAAATTAGGTAGCAGAAATAAAAAAGAAAACGTATTTTTAAATATCCACCCTAGAAAAGTTAAAAATAAATGCTGGTTGTGGGATTTCAATTTACTGGACTTTTAAAAGCAGTACATTCTTTCGAAAATGGTTTTTACAAAAATTGTAACACAGTGAATTGGTGGCGGGAAAAATGAATTGGTTTGGTTTGAAAAAAGATCCTGACTTGAGATGAGATGCAACTTCATAAGATAAAATACGACGACTCAAAGGTTTTCCTATTTTGCAAAACCTTTCAGGTTCAGGAGGAATTTATTCCCAAGACAATTCCTTTAACGTCTGTCGGAAACAGCCTGGGGAATGCAGGTATCTGCTGAGGCCACGCCATGTCGATTGGACAGAAATACTTCCCGAGACCTCAGGAGCCGGGAAAGGCCTGACTGGTCGCGACTCGCTTGGACTGGCTGGATCGCACGTTCGGCCTCAGATTGGTCGAGCCTGCCCGGGCTGCGCGGGATGCGGGTGAGAGCGGAAGCGCGCTCTTTCAAACTCGCCGTCCGAACGTCGAAGCGTGCAGGCCACTTCCGGCGTAGCCATGGCGGCTAACGCTACCACTAACCCGTCGCAGCTGCTTCCTTTAGGTAATCGTGGTCGTGTGGGGAGGGGGACCCGGAGAGCTCAAGCTAATCGTTCGGGGCCGAAGATCTGCAGCCGAAGTAGCCCTTGGCCGAGTGTTAGGGCAGTGTGTCGGACTGCTTTACTTTTCCGGGGGGTGGTTCCTGAGCTCCCAAATCTCTGCTTTCCACGACCGCTCATGCCTTTTTAACGTGGTGGGGGTTCTTGAGGCGGGGACTTGTGACTCCCCAGCCAAACCGTCACTCAAAAAGGCCCACAGTTACTGAATGCGTCATCAGCTTTCTTTGTTGTGGGTTCGCGTCTGCAGTCTTGGATAGCCTACCCACTCCTCAGCTTGGTATTTAAGCGCCCAGATTAGACCCTGTTGTTAGTCTGGCTGGTTATTGAGAGAAGCACCGGCGTCTGGGCTGGGTCTAAAAGGGGGATCTGGAACCTAGTTTTGTTCTTCAGTAAATAGTTTTACTGACTCTCTGTGCACTAGACGCAATGGCCGGACACTATTCGACAAATTTAAATCACACCCGTTGCCTTCAAATAACACAGCACATAGCCCTGGAAGAGAGAGAAAACTGGACGAGTAAACCTCATGACAAATAAGGCAAAATCAGCTAACCTGAAGTGCGTTCAGAGCACAGGCATAGTGACCAGAAGAAATCTCTGGTAAAGACAGCTGTGCCTCTCTCTTCCAATATTTTCTAGCTGAAGAGTTAATTTGAGTTACCGGAGGTGGCCATGATTTAAAAGTTTCGTTTCTTCATTCGACAGACTCATTTTAAATGCTTAGCATATGCTGGACATTGCCCATTGGGGAAATAGTCATGCAAAAATGAGGGGCTTAGACTCTGAGAGGGAGGAGGCTCATATGTTAATCAAATAACCTACAGTAACATAAAACTACGACTGTGATAAATTTCAGCAAATGAGAGGTAAGTAGTGAATAGAGAAATTTTTTTCTGTTGATTATGCAATCAGAGATACGTAGTATAAAACGTACAATTTTTGAATGAATACCTTTCCTGGTTTCTTTCCTTTCACCGTATGCAAGTAACAAGGACCAGTAGACAGTTAAATATTTGTTGAAAGTAATGAATGGGTAAAATAGTCTTTTTCCTCTTCCCCTTCTTTTTTTTTTTTAATATATAGAGCTTGTGGACAAATGTATAGGATCAAGAATTCACATTGTGATGAAGAGTGATAAAGAAATTGTTGGCACACTTTTGGGATTTGATGACTTTGTCAATATCCTTTTAAAAGGTGGTGTTGGTATGGGTTTTTCTTCAGTATTTAAGAAGTAAGAATATCAACAGTCAGTTCTTACTGATTATTATAATATTCTCAAGGAACATGTGATAGTGTTTTATGAGGTGTGTATCAGATAAAGTTCCTACCACTTATATGTGTTTTGCATTTGAGCTATTGTGTTAAACATCGTAATTAAAACTGAATAAAGGCAGCAGCCAGAGTAAATTCAACCTGGTTCATTTATTTCCTTAACACCAAATTTCAGATATGGTATTGGAGGATGTCACTGAGTTGTGAGTAGTGTTAAAAATTAAAGAATTGGGGGGGGGGGATCTTTCTTTAAAGTAATTTTAGTATTAATGAGTTTTAAATGGTTTATAAGAAAACATTGCCTGTTAGAAATACCTTGAAATTTTATCTACAGATAAAATTGAATGTTAGTAAAATTGGAACACAGTATTACCATAATGTAACTATTAGTGAATTGTTGGGAAGTTAATGGAGACAGAGCCTTAAAGTAAAAGATATTAAAAACTGCCAGGAATCTTTGGGCTCAGGCAAATCAAGGTACTGATAATACGAGCATTTAACTATGTATAACGTAAAATGTAAATGCTGGCTCTCTTATATTAGTTACAAAGGTCATGACTAGTATCTGCTTTTAAAACTGATTGGTTACAGATCAGTTTAATGGATAGGGATTAGTGGTAAGTAATAGTAAGAAAGTGAGGCTAGTAAATATTTCATATTTGCTCTCTTTGCCAAGTTTCAGCTTTTATGAAGGTCAGTCCTGGTAAGTGTGGATCTTAAGCCAGTCAGTTCACTGTGTTGCCTTTGGGGAAGAATGTACATCATTCAGTCGAATAACTATTGCCTCTTAAACTATGGATGTAATTGCTTGACCTCATATTTCCTCATTTATATTCAGGAATAGCCTTTTTAGGGGTCGAAATGTTGGCTTTGATTATCATTGTTTATCCTGACTCTATTTTATCTCTTCATTTAGTGAAATCACACCAGAAGGAAGAAGGATCACTAAATTAGATCAGATTTTGCTTAATGGAAATAATATAACAATGGTAAGACACAGTAAAGCTGTTTTATTTAGATGTTAGCCCATTTTGGGGGGGCAAGGATTACCGATTACCTTGCTTGATGAGATGTTCATATCCCAGTGGCACTTAGTTGGGAAGGAGATGCTCTCGTGATCAAGGCTTTAAAGCTGAGCTGCTGAAGATGACATTAGCTTAAAAATTAGTTTGTTTGGGCTTTTTAATCTTTTAGTTTGCCAAGAACCATTGGTTAGACTTGGAGTATTAGTTGATAATGTTGGGAACTGTAAACAGAAGTGATGACCAGGAGAAAATGGGAATGTGAGGGAGGTGTAGGGAGAGGCGCAAGTGGGTTGGATTGTGGAAGAGGGGTTTTTAGATGGTGCAGGTGGTTGTGTTACTATTAAACTCTTTTTCCTTCTATGCAGCTAGTTCCTGGAGGAGAAGGACCTGAAGTATGAATGGATTTCCTTGATTTAACTCTGTTTAGTTTTATAATGACAACAAAATAGAAATTTTTTTTTTTAACCTTTTAACGTTTGGATTCTGTAAAGCTAAGTTTCCCGTTGAAGGGAAATGTTTTGGAGATGCATTGTAAATGCCCATTTTTGTAAGTTAATCATTATTATCTTGGAAAAAGAAGAACAGTTTGTTCTTTGAAGATGACAATAAAAATGTTTTTGGTTAATTGTCATTTTATTTTTTTGTACTGCCATAGCCAGTGTAACAAAAATTGTAGTTATTCTGTCACTTGCTTTCCTATTATTTTATGTCCATTTTCTTCCTCACGTACATGACTGTTAGATTCTCAAACAAAAATTGTTCCAAACAAAATGACAAACTTTGATTTTGAGCAGTTGTGCTTAAAAAACCTGAAATGATTACTTACAGAATTCAATTTAAACTCTGGTGCTTTGAAATGAGGATTTTTGTATTGAACTTAAGTTCCGTTAACTCCTTTTAAAAACATGCAAGCTGGGGCGCCTGGGTGGCTCATTCGGTTAAGGGTCCATCTGTTTATTTCGGCTCAGGTCATGATCTCACAGTTCATGAGTTCAAGCTCTTTCTCAGGCTCTGTTCTTGTAGGCTGGAGCCTGTTTGGGATTCTCTCTTGCTCCCTCTTTCTGCCCCTCGTGCATGTGCTCACTCTCAAAAACCACCCCCCCAGCCCCCCAAAAAAACCCAAGCAAACTTATAGTTGTAGAACAACTAAGTTACTGAGATGAAAAGTAACAGCGTAGGGAATATTGTCAATAATATTGTAATAACATGATGACAGATGGTGTAGTCCTTTACAGTGGTGAGCATAGTGTAAAGTATAGAATTGTTGAACCACTATGTTGTACACCTGAAACTAATAAAACATTGTATATCAGCTATACTTCGATAATAAAAAAAATATACAGGTAATATATGCACATTGTAGGAATGGAGGTAAGAAAAATATTCATTACACTTTGCTGTATACCCTCTTAGACTTTCTCAGTACACTCTCCATGTTATTTTTACAAAAACTTACTCCTGAATATACTGTTTTGTAGCCCCATTTAAGACTTAAAAAAAAATTTAAATCGTGCACATCTTTCCATGTCATTTCAGTAACAACAATGTTTTCATTGTATTTCATTAAAAGGATTTACCATTAATTTAGCTGATTTTTATTATCGGCCATAGTAGACTAAATCTTGATACATTTTTCTTTTTAAAAAATTTTTAATGATTATTTTTTAGAGAGAGACAGAGTGTGAGTTGGCGGGGGGCGGGGGCGTGAGGTGGGGACAGAGAGAGGGAGACACAAAACCCAAAACAGCCTCCAGGTTCTGAGCTGTCAGCACAGAGCCTAACACAGGGCTCAAACTCAGAAGCTGTGAGATGGTGACCTGAGCTGAAGTTGGGAGGCCCAACTGACTGAGCCACCCAGGTGCGCCTACATTTTTATTTTTCTTAGAAGAAATTTGTAATGTGAGCTCAAAGAGTATAGTTAGGTTTCCAGCAAAAAGTATTGTGCCTGAATCACAAGTACCCAGAGACCATCACGGAGCCGACCCCGATGCAAGTACGTAAGGGTCTTTATTACAAGCTCTAGCAGGGGCTCACCCGTCAACCGGCGCAGTGGCAGCAGGGTGAAGCCCTGAACAATAGCGACCAGGGTTTTTATGGGGTAAGGGACAGGGGTGTTACAGTGCACGCGTTGTATGTATAGAATCATCACATAAGCACCAATCATAATTGCACAACACTCATGGTAACAGTTTTGGCCATTCAGTATCTGTGAGGTGTTTGTTACTTTTGGCGGGACCCAATCATCACCTTTGAGAATCCTTTGAAAATGACCAATTATAAGGTGAGTTCAAAGGGCCCATGTGGGGTTTTAGGCAAGCGGTGAGTGATTAGCTAGTTTGTACAAAGTAACTATAATCCTCAGTCCCTGACTCAAACCACAGGAATGTTTTTAACTTCTTTTGATTGGCTGACCTGAGGGTGGTCCGAGAGTGGCTTCAGCCTTGAGCAATCTGAGGCTTTTCCTGGAACTGGGGCTGCATGCAGCCCGAGGTTGCTCTTAATGGGGGACTTAATCTCAAAATGACGTTACTTAGGCTCCTCAGTATGTACCATTCTACACTTGGCTAGCAGTTTTTCATGGTATTTTTTTTTCATAGTACTCTTTACATAACGGTCATTGGCTATGTTCTACCATCTTGCTTTGCCACTGGGATAGGCAAAAACTGGTATGTTTAAAGTTTATTAATTTTGAACTCCTTTCCAGTTTGTGAATTACTTATGAGGCTTTTGCCATTGAGATGCCTGTCTTTCTTACTAATCTGTAAGAATTGTTAGTTTGCTCTTAGTCATGTATTTTACAGATAATTTCCCTAGTTTATAGTTTGTCTATTATTGGTAATATTTTTGACATAAATAATGTATTTTTATGTAGTCATATGTTGATCTCATCCTCTATGATTTTTATCATCAGTACACGTGGATTAGAAAGGCCGTCTTTGCTATGATTATATATATTTTTGTTACTTTATGTTCTTTTGTTTCATTTAAATCTTGCATCCATCTTTGGTTTTAGTGTTTCCACAACAAAACAGGATCCAACTTTCTTTGTTCTTTCTTAAAAAATTTTCTTTTTAACATTTTATTTTTAAGTAGTCCCTACACCCAAAGTAGGGCTCGAACCTACAAGTCTGCAATCAAGAGTCACATGCTCCACTGACTGAGCCAGCCAGGGCCCCTCTTTATTTTTCAACACAAATTTATTTTCCAAAACAAAACGCTATTTTGTGGGGTTTTTTTCTTTTTCGTTCATTCTTTCTTTCTTTCTTCCCCCTCCCCATGGTATTAACACTCCTACTGTGGCTGATTTCAAGCTGCCAAGGGTTTAACCATGAGCTTGCCAACTTCCCAAAGATTTAACAGTTGGTTCTCAGGAGCTCCTGGGAGCCTGTTGCCAACCCCCCCCCCCGCCCCCCATCTCCACTTCTGCCCCTTGGGGGATGCTTTTCTCCTTTCTCTCTGGAGTGGGGGGTGGGATGTCAGATGTGATAGTGACCCCTTTTCACCCTTTTACTCACCATCCTATGGGAAATGGGTGGTCATACTCCGCTCTTAATTTTTTCCCTAAGAACTAGCCTTTAAGGAGCACCTATTCTTAGCTCTAACATGTTAGGAGTTTAATAGAAGCCTGACATCACTTAGGGAGGCATACAATTACTTAGTCTGGCAAGGAGATAAGTCTATTTCTGGAGTTCAGTAACAGGAAGTTCACTAGCCTATAGGTAAATGATACCTCTTAATCTAGTCTGAACAGTAATAAAGATGATAGTATGACTCCCATCTGCTTCTACTTTTGTCTTAACGCTGCAATTCGTATAAAATGGGTACTACTCTAAATAAGGGTCTCGACATTTTTGGGTAACTCTTTTTTTTTTTTTTAATGTTTTATTTATTTCTAGGAGAGAGAGAGAGAGACAGCGTGAGCAGGGGAGGGTCAGAGAGAGAGGGAGTCACAGACTGAAACAGGCTCCAGGCTCTGAGCTGGCAGTCAGCGCAGAGCCTGACGCGGGGCTCAAACCCACGAACTGCGAGATCATGACCTGAGCGAAAGTCGGACACTTAACCGACTAAGCCACCCAGGCGCCCCTGGTAACTCTTAGTTATAGGGGCTGTTCTGTGCATTGTAGAATGTTAAACAACATCCCTGGCCTATACCTACTGGATCCCAGTAGCATCTTTCCTCATCTCTTCCCCCAGTTGTGACAAAAAAGGGCTCCAGATGTTGCCAAATGTCATCTGAGAGCAAAATAATCACTCATGGTTGAGAAGCACTGTTCTACAATAGAGATATTATTTATTGGGCCCTTTAAAATTCCCTCATGTTTGGTGCATGGGTGAGGAACACTGTGTCTAGACAATGAATAAAATTCCCAAATTCCCCAGGTAATTCTAATCCTCACTAAAACTTGAGACCCACAGCCTTTGAACAGTTTTTGCTGCATTTAAACTGTAAGGCAGCTAAGTTCCATGTATGCTATGGCATACAAATGCCAGACTTTGGTCTGGACCAAGGAAGAATTGTCCATAGGCTTGGGGTTCACTTCCATCCAGGCAGTCTCAATTTCATTCTTGAGGGATGACTTGTTAATTACACAAGCTCTAATCGTATCTTTAGATTTTGGGGTACAAAACTGCAGCCTCACCAACAGAGGTGTGGTAGATTTCTATCAGTAAAAAAAAAAGGTAGGGGGGAGGCTTTTTTTTTTTAAAATTTTATTTATTTTTGAGAGACAGATCATGAGCAGGGGTAGAACAGAGAAGGAGACACAGAATCTGAGGCAGGCTCCAGACTCTGAGCTGTCAGCACAGAGCCTGACGCGGGGCTCGAATCCACAGACTGTGAGATCATGACCTGAGCTGAAGTAGGCTGCCTAACTGATTGAGCCACCCAGGTGCCCCGGGGAGGAGGCTTATTGTAAAGGGAATATGAGATCTTCTAGGATTGAAGGTGAAAAAAATCTCAGAGAAATTATTGTAAGCCAAAAAGTGGAATGCCTATGCATGGGGCCTTTTATTTTTCAAATTGTATTTTGTAAGATAAAATTGTATTTTGTAAAACATATACATTTAGACTTACTGAAGAAAAGTTGCAGGAATCAGAAAAACTTAGACCCTACTCAAGTTTTATCAGTTGCCCTAGTAGTATTCATAGCAAAAGGATCTAGTCCTGGATCATGTGCTGTATTCAGTTGTCATGTTTCTCCAGTCTTTCAGTTTGCAACAGTTCTTCAGTTTTTCCTTAACTTGTAGGACTCTGACATTTCTGAAGGTTGCAGACTAACCATTGTAAAAGAGTCCTCATATTGGATTTGTTTATTGTCTCCCCATGAGTAAGCTCAGAGTGTGCATTTCTGACAGGTGCATCACAGGAGTAATGCTACTCTTTCCATAAGGTTGACTAGTTCCATTTCTAGGGTTGTTAACCTTGAACTTTGATGTTTGTGAGGATTTTCCATCGTAAAGTTACATTTAGTGTGGTGGCTATCCAAGACCATGCAAATATGCTGTTCATCATCCCACTTTAACCCACAAGTTTGTATTCCTCAATGTTTCTTACTGAAATAAATGAATTAGTAATTGATTACTTAATAAGTAAGTCCTGTATTTGACTAGCAGTCAGACTAATGGGAGTAAGAGGAACCTACTTGACGGTGGTTGTTTTCAAGTATCAAAAACAGAATAAAGGCTCAATATTGAAACATTTTGATAGATTTAATCTACTTTATCCAAGATTAACCCTGACTGAATCTTTGGTTGTTGACCATTTCATTCTTAAAAATAATCATGAATGACATCAAGTGGCCACCAGAGGGCACTGTGGAACAGGCAGCTTGTCGCTGAAGCCCAGGCTTCTGTGTTTTCCCCAAATCCGGTTTTAAAAAGTGAGGTTTCTGGGCTTCCACTCTGCTGTACTTACTGTTGAATCACACCACAAAGGTAGGCAAAGAGTTGAATTGTTACTATTTTACACTGATTTTTGACAAAGAGGAATCTGTTTTCATTCACATTTTCTACTTGAGGTTCCCTTTTTTACTGTAAAAAACGTAAGTATAATGTGAATTAAAACATGGGCTCCAGAATCAGACTTACCCAGACTCTAATCCCAATCAATCCTTTATTAGTTGTGTGAGTTTAGGTGGCTACTTAATGTCTCTGGCCTCGATTCTCTCATCTGTAAATTGGGAAAAATAACCACCTCTTAGAATTGTAAAAATTAACCAAGATAATATATGTAAAGCATCCAGTATAGTTTCAATCATATAGTAAGTGCTCAATAAATGGCAGTAGTTAAAGAGACTCTTGGATCAATTTTTTAGAGAAAATCATTTTTCCACCACATCAATTCCATTTCAACAATTTAAGCTACCTGCCACTTAGTCTATAACATTTCCTCCGAGAACTGAGCCCTTGGTTATCTTTGATTTTTTTTTTTTTTTTTTTTTATCACAAAGCACAGTGCTTGGGCAAAGGGACTCAAAAGATATTTGTTGAATTAAGTGGTGACAACCGAGTAGGAAGCTTTTCTATTCTTAGGATGAGACTGGGAA